TATTTGTCTTTTAGAGCACACATTTCCGCTTTTCATATGAATATAAATCATTGGCGCCTTTCACAAAGAGTATTGACCTTGCTACAAAGACTTGTATCCCCCTTCTACAACATACATCTTAACTGCAAAATCTAATTTTTCTATTTCATTATATTAATATTTTATGATTAAAATGTAATAAAGATTAAAGATAAAAATACCTTTTTAGCTAAAAATACAACAAAGAGATGAAATTTTAATCCTAGCCGTAGGATTTTTTGTATTTCCTGTTTTAAAGCAATTAACTTCCTTCAATGAATTAATAAAAGTAATAAAAATTTAAAAAAAAAAAAAATGGGTTGAAAATTTTTATTACAATGTTTCTTGATTTTGAAACGATTTTTTCACTGATAGGTATATTTTCGACGTCTTCGTGTGGTTTTGACGTTAGATAACATGACAATCTTAAAGAATGGGTAATAAAAATGTTATTCAAGAAATAGTAATAAATATATGATCTTGAAATAAAAAAAAATAGAAATTTGGTTATCTTTCAAACATATTTATCATTTTTGTATAAATCCTTTGTATGCGTCATATTTTGTCAGTAGTACTCTATAAAAACAAGGAAATTCGTTATTTTTCGGCATTTTGAGACGCCCCCTCTGAAAACAAGGCGGTTGAATTTTGTGGTTCTTACATATACATATAATATACAACATAGTATTACTCGATTATCATTTATTAAAGTTTGAGCAAAATATCTTTTGTAGTATTTGTAATAATTTGCTTTAAAGTGCGAAAAATCGACACTTTCCCATATAATCTTATAAATGTACATGTAAATGTACCTGTATTTTGAGATAGCCTCTTAAAAATACCTGGGCGGTAGATTTTCCCCAAACTTGTATACTGAAGTCAGAGTAAGTTATATACGGAATAAAAATAAGAATTTCTCTAGTGAATTTTTCATACAATGAAACCCCAGTCGGCCCCCTAAAATTACGGAAATTTAATCATGCATATTTTGTTTCCACGGCATTGCAACAATGCAACAACTCATATTCTCTTCATGTTAGAAGGAAATTAAATCTATTCAAAATGAACATCCTTTATTCTTGAGTTCTTACTTTTTTTTGTTAAAAATACTTTTAATTGTTTGAGTTCTTTTATAAAACATATATATTTCTTTGCCGCCTTTATAAGTTTTACAAAGATATTTTAACCAATATTAACTTCACCTGTTTGCTAGACATACCCACCGTAAACCCAATGTATTGAGTAGCACTCCGTAGTTTATTATTAGCACAAGAGAAAGGATTAATTGGTTTGAAACTGGTTAGCGAAAAAAAAGACCCTATAATAGATTGTATTTGCTAATAAGGTCAATATTACCACCATAAAATTTACAAATTTACTGACTTTAAACGAGGCTGTTGAAATTCCTGTAACATTCCTGTAACATGAACTTTAATATAATAGGTCTGCTTTAGTTTGAAAAATTACATTATTTTATTTCCAAAAATCCATATCTATCTAATACAAAGTGCTCTTGTTCTTGCAAATGGACCACTGAATACTAGACAGTGAATATATATCAAGTGAGGCCAGATTTAATGTGACTACTAAAAACGTTTTATCATTGCTTTTAACGTTTACATGTTGAGTTCATTATAGGCATTATGATTACGGTGCGTGGCAGGTTTTCTGATAAAAATTAAACAGATGATGACGAATTGAATGGAACAACATTTACATTTATTATAAAATGCGTACAAAGCTTACTAAAGAACAGACTTTCCGATGCAGAACTGTGAAACACTTAATAGCGTCAATCACCCAGAGAAAGAAAAATAGATTCGAGGTTAAGGTACAGTTTGTGATTATATATGAAAAAACGCCTGCTTAACCAATCAATGTCCTTTAAATGCTATCAATTTACACTTACTTTAATTATATGGGTACAATGTTACACGTACAGCATTTTCACTTAAAACTCACTGGCACATTACACCTTAAATGAAAAGTGTACAAGGTGTACAGTGGGGTTGTAAATTTCTTGTTCAATCTATATATATGTAAAGTGTAAGGAAGTTTCATGTTCACTCAACATCTATTTTAAGGTGATATCATGTATCTAAACAAATTTTAGAACATGAAAATGAGAACGAAAACACCAAAGGTAAATCTAGAGAAAATGAAAGTTGTAACAAAGAAATATTCAAGCACTTAATGTTATTCTAATGGTTAATATAGCCTACCTGTAGATATATTTGTTTATTCTCTATATCTGCCTTTATTTAAAGTGTTGGCTAAGTCAGAAGACACCTTTTTATATAGAACAAGGATATGACATGGATATTGCATTTGAGAAATGCGGATGTTTATTTTCTTGGAACATAATTGTTCCATAAATAGGTTTTTATCATCATTGAGAATAAATTTCATACCCGAGGTAAAATGCATATTATTTACCAAAAAGAAAAAAAAAAACTGAATATTGCCTTGTTGGAAGGTTCTAAGTTTAGATGATCAAGTCACTTATTACGTTGACGCTATTATTCTGCATCTTCTGCATATATTCATAGAACGGCAGTTGAAGAAAAATGTCTTAGATAGAACATATAAATCAAATGTTTTTAAGGAAATGTTTTTTTTAAAATAATTTTTAGTTTTGTTTTATTTTTAAGCTTGGTCACTTAAGTCACTATCAGAAATTGTGAATTTCGTGGGTCCTGGAGCAAAGGTTTTGGTACTATGCTGAAACTCTACTTCTTTGCTTTTGGACATCTATGTAGAAAACAAAATATATAAAGTTCTAATCATTAAAATGAATTTCGTGAAACGTTTCCCTATTTCCAATTTACCTATGATGGTCAAGTAGTCTTCTGAAGAATGGATAAATAAAACAGAGGCTATCATACATTCTCTTTGATCATCAAAAATCTTTTTTTCAAAGTTAAAGAGTAAGAGATACCACGTGATGATGGGTTTATTAACACTCTCAAGAGTTATTATTTTGTTTGCAATTTATTTAGCCTGCAGTAGTTAAAAAGAAAGTACTTTAAAATGTACACCTTCATTCAATATCAGTGGATGGCAAATATACAGCATGTAAGTTTTATTATTAAATGTAACCCAATCTTCAAAATAGGAATGCCGCCGTAGTAGCTAAGTCAGTAGAACGCCCGCTACGTGATAGGAAAGTCGGGTGTTCAAATTTGGCCGAGAATTACCAAAGATAAAAAGGTAGCAATTGTTCCTTAATTCACCAAGCGTTCGGTACTTTGAAGTGAAAGTTTCGAGTGAGATCTAGACCTTAGATAACTAGGATTTACTAAAGTAGTTGTAATGCTAGACTTCTGCTTTTCTCAAGACATTTATCATTTCTATATATAGACGAAAGGAAGAAATACAAAGAACACCATTGTCAATGGGAGTATGGATCTGGTTTTTATCTAAATACATATAGTAAGCTAAAATGTATCAAATGAGCTGTGAAAAATGAACAACTGTTGTTATTTTATAATGAGTGAATCGCGTGTTTAACAAATATAAGCGTTTGTTTAAATAGAAGCATTACATGTAATATATAGGCGGTATACATGTATCAATTGAGCTTCTTTTGATTTGAACATGTGAGTACAGTTTTAACACCTTTCATTATCATGAAAGTGTTTCTTTTTGGTTTGTTGATTTTCTTGAAATGCTTATTCGACAATTTGGTTAAAAGATTTGGAAAAAAAATTCCAAAGATTTGTTTTACTGAAAACATAAATCATGACATGTTGCATTTGTAGAGAAAATCTTTGATAAGAACTTGAATAATACTAAGAAAGAAAATTAGTTAAATAAAAATATACTCAGGTATATTATCGTTATAAATCAAGTAAATTATCGACTTATAAATAGAGTAGGTATGTAAAACAGTTTACCAAGTTACATGTAACTGTTTCCATGTACATGTAGTTGTCAATTAATCATAATTATTAGCTAATTCAATATTTATAATTAAAGCAATTAATGTACTTAAAAATTACTAAATACTTTTAGCAATGAGAGGTTTGGGATTAAGGAATCATCTTTGCCTAGCTTATCCAGTTATGCTTAATTGATATTGGATTTCAAATGCCGTGAATTTCTCCTGCACACAAAAAGCAACAAACTAGACAGTAATATTTTAAATTTACATGCATATAATCAATTAGAAGTTGTTGACGAGACTGAAGCTCCACTCACATTATAGAAATGCAGTTTTGATTCAACTGAATCGTTACTTAAAGGTCTGGAAAGATAACTCTATGGCCGTCACCTGTCATTAAATTTTTAGTCACATTTTAATCAACTGATTGGCGAAGTTTTATCCTGCAACAGTTTACTAGTGTGTACTTTTTATACACTTTAGCTGTTTCAAAAACCGAGAAAAACTAAGATGATTCTTAATAAAATCAATTTGAAAAGCAATACGCATTGAAATTGGACTCAGACAGTAAGATGAGGAGAGTTTTTAAAAAAGAATTTCAATGAAGTTTGGAAATGCAGGACACTTGAAGAATTGTTAGGATTCTTTATTTGTAATAAATAAAATTCACAAAGTCATTTTTTAAATATACCAATGAACTATATTAATAATAGTGACATAAATATGAATACATAATATGTAGAAATACCCAAAAATTCAAATTACTTTTGAAGGTTCTCGTCCTACTCAGTGATCCTTGTCGCCTCTTTTTTGCTGTATGTCAAAGCAGAGAATGGGACTTCAGACTTCCTTAGTAAATACAATACATACAATACTGTTTGCAGAGGAATGGGGTACATGTATCAAGATCAAAACTGCAAAGGAAAAGGTATGATGGCTTCAGTTGTAAGTTGTTATCTTTAAATTTTTATTTACTCTGACTATTTTTTATATAAATTATAGCCTATTTATTGCAAGCTATTTTTATAGCTATATTTTAAAACCCGATTTTCTCTTTAAACTTACATAAATAGAAAATGAACATTACAAACAGAATTCGATGACACAATATAAATATGGACTAAAGAGCAAACACGAACTTTTCAAAAGTGACATCAAGTACCATGGAGTATTTAGCATTAACTATCGACTTGTCATACCCGGTGTGTGTGCTCCGAGTCATAATTAGACAAGCAAAAACAATTATCCTATTGTTAACTCTCCTATTGTTAACTTTTTTATGAACTCAAGTAAAATTTCCCTATCTCCAGCAGATGGTGTTTAAATTTTCCAACGTATTCGTTACTTAAGAGCATGCTACTGACAGATAAGTTGATTTTACATGGAATTCATAAATCTCGTCCAAGGTCAACAATTTCTTAATTTGATGCTCGTATGCATGTTTACAACAGAAGATTCAATTAGAAAAATGAATCTTTATTTTAATATTTTGATTAAATTCTCGTGCATTAATTGTATTAAAGGAGTGGCACTACTTGATTTTTTTGTATGAATTAGATTGCTTTCAATGATTTGTTTGGTCTTTTCAATAATGTTTAAGTTCTCTATATAATCGTTGAATTAACCTTATAGCTCAGTAAAGATAAAAGAGCTGATATTTTGTTTTGAAAGGTGTTATTGCATTTTATGCGGAAACATCAACTGTGCAGCAAAATCTGCCAAGGAAAGCAGTTGTGTTCTTTAAAAATATAATATTGAATTCTGGAGGTGCTTACGATGCAACGACAGGAAAGTTCACAGCTCCAAACAATGGCATATACTTCTTTTCATGGACCATTGCCACAGCTGCGGGGAATTGGTTTAGTACAGAAATTGTCCTTAATGATAAAATTTTTGGTCGAAATCACGTAAATGGCAAATCTTCCAGTCCCAATTATGAAAGTGGATCGGCAACAGCTATCATTAAAGTGGAGAGGGACGATAAAGTCTGGATTAGGGTTTATGATGAGAAGGGATATGCCTATGCAGAATGGTCATCCTTCTCTGGCTTTCAGTTGTGAATAAAGAATTCATTCGAAACTCTGACAACTTTTGAAAAATGTGGATATGTGTCAAAAATGTAACAAAATTAAATGAAATGGACAAAAAAGAGAATGCATAATTATATTTTTATGTCAAATACGTTGCCAAACTTTTATATTAAAAAAGAAAACTTTTATGTATTTTTTTGTCTTTTTAGATTGATTCATGAAGTGATGCAGCATGAATAAACTGTCTAAAAAAAGATATCTTACATTAGTATTTCTTAGATTCTCTTGAGGCACATGTGTTGTAAAACGTCCATCTTGGGATTAATTTACTCGTATGAATTTGGTTTATATATATATAAGTCAGCCTGCTTCTATAACACTTTTTAAAGCGACAATACAGCTGCAAATCGTGTGCTTTTTCATTCAAATTTACCCAATTTAGCATTAAGGAATAAGGTAAAAAGTTGAAGTAAGTATTTTGAGAAAAAGAAATATTCTCTCCTCATACGAAATTAAGGTAATTAGAATCTGTCGGAAAATCAAGGGTCGTACAACTTAGATCTGTTTACTTGTATCACGTGATTTTTAAAATGGCACGTGCATACAATGTAGGGTTTACAATTATAATGGAATATTAGGTAAAAGCAGTTCCAAGAATCAAAAAATATTAACTCTCCGGTAAATTAATAATAATTAACAATAGTTTTTATATGTCATAAGTGCATTTTTATATTGAGTTTACACTGATTTTTTTTTCTTTGAAAGCCATAGAATTACGAGAAATGATAGCATGTATCAACAAACCTGTAGGGTAGAACCTTTGCGAGCCCCACTTGAATGTCACCGAGATCCCGTTTCTTCTTCATCCAATGATTATATTAATCTGATGTCTAAGAAAGCATCTGGTAAAGAAGAGCAATGTCCAAATTTACTCAGGTTAGAGATGTTGCCCATAGGCCTCTTGTTATTTAGTCATACTCGCGTGGAATATGTATGAGTCCAATTTACATTGATATGTTTTTTTTTTTAATATTGCTCGATAATGATAATGAATGCTCTATGTTACAAATCATCTTAATTTTGGACTTATATGATAAAATTCTATAATAAAATCTTTTATGCAATAGACAAATTCGCTGTTGAAGCAAACTAGTGCATAAGGAGTGATGAAACTTATTGACTCGCGCTGTTCGTACGTGTGGGAACACTTGCTTTGCATAAACCATACAGCTTAACAAAAATAAACGCTGGTCAGGTTCGTGACTTCATTGTGTTGTTATATATACATGTATATATTATGGTTATATATGTATATATGTCAATTTTTTAGAAAAAAAAAATAATGGGCACATTAAAAAGATTAAGCTGAAAATTTCAGCAATAATTGTGTATTTGTCATTAATCATTTCAATTAAATAAAGATAAAAATAAAGATTTTATTTTTCTCGAATAAGAGGACTATTCAATAAATAATGTCCCCGGTGCACAAAAAGAAGCAAAAGACCCTTTTCAATGATTTCGCCTAAATAATTTAACTTAGATATTCGCTTTGAATAAAAACACATGTCCATAACATTTTTATCCAATTTCTGGTTGTTTTTAGAACTCATTTTTGAGTATGGCCCTTCGTATACTGGATTATGGCAGATCCTATGATTTCCTGGACTTGTTTTTCTTTCTGAAAGGTGTTCTTTTTAAGTTTGGAAAATGAACCAAGTCAAAGGGTGACAGATCTGGCGAATATTATTATGTGACAAAATATTTCCTTAATGTAGTGGATTCCTGATTCCAATTCTTTGCTCTTCTCAGACCTTGGATTCAAGTGTTGTTGTCTGTTTGAATTTCAAGCAAATATGGATAACTACAATTTCTGATTTTTATAAATAATTGATTAAATATTCGTACACATTATCGTTTTCACTCATTTTTTAAAACATAGGGTGACTATTGAGTACTAAGCTTTATTTTTACTGTCAAGTGTTTCTTTAAAATAGTGTAAACTTTCCCTAAATTGATTCCTATTAAATTTGCTATGTGTGTTTCAGTCAATCAAAGATCAAAAGTGATAATTTGTTGAATTTGGGGAAATAAAACATTGGTTGTTGTAAGGGCTGCATTTCATTTCCGTAATTTTTTTGTAATTATCAACTTTTCATTTCCGACATTTTTTAGTTTTCTTTTAGTACCTTTAGTAACAGATTTGAAGACTTTACCTATGGGAAATTTAAAGGAATAATAAATCATATGTAAATCATTGGAATCCAATTTCTGAGTTTTGTAAATCTATATCAAGGACTTGGACATATGTTGTCACTGGAATTTAATTTAGTGCACATTAAATGTAGAGAAAAAGTGTTATGCTCATTGAACTCTTTTACCTAGAATTAGTCCTAAATACGAGGGTTGTCCCAAAAAGTCGTAGAGAGGGAAAACAGTTAAGTTTCTCTTTGTTGAATTAAATTTCTTATCTTATCATAGCAAACAGTAACATTCTATGATCATGCATTTCAGATTTCATGAAGATAACAGATTTAATAAGAAAATTATGAAAAAATAAAGAAAGCATGTCAGTGTACATCGAAGCACGAAGGCAAGAGTAATAATTATTTACGTCTCTTATAACGTCATGATCTCTTTTTCTGCTACACAAGCGTCTGTTAACATCCCAATATTTTTTTTAAAGTGGAAAACCACTCTTGACTAAGGAACGTATTAAAATTCACTACTGTCCATTTCTTATTATTTTTAGAAGATTCAAATTTCAGTCGTAATTTAGTCGAAAGATCACCTTACACTGTAGGCAGCAGAGAATGCACATTGTTTGACGTCGATCGTGGCCCGGAACATTTCCCACTGTCTGCTTTTAGCAAACAGTACGTCTTTACTTCTTATATGCTGTAACTATTTTCGGTAAAGAGGAAAAATTATCATTGAATCTCACACCATTTAAAAACAAATTTTGTATTAGAATCTAGTGTGAAATGTCACTTCTATATAAAAATTTGACATATTATTAAGATTTTGATTCTGGTATCACTGATCTAAATTTGAGTTCAATGTTTTATATAGTACCAAAGAAATAAAAGCAAATGTAATAGCTATATGCGTAAATTATTCCGAATTTTGTTCGTGCGCCGAGAAACCATATCGGCCTTCGTATAAATCGTCCAAATATTGTTAATATGAAAGATATATGCTTAAGAATTTACAATTTTAAAGAACATTGAATATATTATGTCTACGCAAAATTTAGTCAGTATTGGTTGCATGTTAATTAAGTTATAACGATTGTCTAGGACTTTTTGGGACAACCCTCGTATGTATGAATTAGATGGATTTTTTTAAATCAAAAGTTTGCAATAAACACTTTTAGAATTCCATTTTCAATTTCTTAGAAAACATTAAATTTGCGCACAGGTAAATTCCGGAAATGAAAATTTATGTCGGAAATGAAATAAAAAGAATGTCGGAAATGCTATGCATATTTCCGGAAATGAAATGCAGTGGTTGTAAGTCCTTGTCGCCAATGACGGTACCCATATTTAATGCCAATTATATCATTATTGTTCATTGAAATCCATCTGCTCATGTGTCTATAATTGGTTGCTGTAAATTTCACAAATTTTACTGAATATTTCTTTGGAATTCCTATCAAGTTTTACAGCTGTTTAAATGAAGCATTTATTTAAATCTTACTAGTTTACTGATTCTTTACCGTTCATTTTAATGCTCTGTCTCGAATAGCCCTTGTTTTCCAGCTTCTCACAATGAAAATATGAGATGAAAAGTGTTTATATAAACTGATATAAATTCATTAAAGATTTAATCATGAAAGTCAAGCTTCATGTCATATGATGTGTTGTATGTCATAGAGTTCTGGACATTATTTATTTAATAGCTCTCGTATGCCCAGGGTACGGACCAACGGTGCACGTTAAAAAAATCAGATTCCATTGAAGAAAGCACGAGTATCATTTCGAAAAAAAGTATTAAATACAGATGATTGGAATGAAAATAATCCTATTTTTAATTAACTATTTATCTTGTCATGTTTCAAGGCATTTGCTTAATTTTTGGCAGTTAACCGAGCATTCTAAATGGGAAAGTGGTTAACACAACACACGAAAAATGGCAACGTTTATGACCTTACGGCGCATCTTACGGAGCAGTTCAGTTTGATATAGATTCAGTTATGACATTTACGAGACTATAAATATATATACAGATTGATTGATTGGATAGTGTTTAACGTCCCTCTTGAGAATTTTTCACTCATATGGAGACGCTGCAAATTTGTGCTATACTCGACACTTAGGGCCATTGAGCAGGGATGGATCTTTTTCGTGCCAGCACCTACTGCGACACGGGTCCTCGGTCTCATCCGAAGGACCGGTCTCCATGTCCAACAGTGGGATTCGAACCCGCCACGTAAGGATCAAGTCCTTACTTCGCGACTCTAGAGCAGTCGCAAGTCTAACCACTCACTGAAAAAAATAAACTAGTGAAAGTCACTGGGAAGACTAGTAAATTTACTGTCCATACAATCACTACCTCAGAAGTAGTTTTACAAGGAATAGGGTAGATTTACTAGATAACATTAGTAAATCTAAGAATTTCTAAGTAACTTTCACTAGGTATCTTAGTATCTTTACGACCACTACTCCACGTTTCACTGTGTTAGCTAGTACACAGAGTGATTACTAATCACAAAGAACGCTTTACTAGGCACACCAGTTAAATCAACTAGGTATTTCTTTCAGTGCTGCACCACGCGGGCGACAAATGTATACAGAAGAAATAGTGTAAAATATCCCCAGATCTTTAGTATACAAATAAAATTGGACAAGTACTCTTGCATGGGAACCAGGACTATATTTTTTGGCGTAAGTTTGGCAAATGAGGCACCAACATGACTTTAACCGACGAATCAGCCATTTTTTTCATCCATTTCGTAAATGAAAAGCATATATTTGCGTGGACCTCAGTATAAGCGAGGTTAAACCGGATGCCCTGGGCACGATCGGTGAATA